TGTGGGCTGGGGCCGGCCTGTGGCTCACTCGGTAGAGTGCGGTGCTGGTAACACCAAGGCCACGGGTTCGGATCCCATATAGGGATGGCCGGTTAGCTCACTGGTTGAGCGTGGTGTTGACAACACCAAGTCAAGGGTTGAGATCCCCTTACCGGTCATCTTTAAAAAAAAAAAAAAAATTGTGGGCTGCTGTTAAAGCAGCACTTGGAGGAAAACTTATAGCATTAAATGTTTATGTTAGAAAAGATGTTCAACTCAAATCCTTTTACTACTAACTTCCAACCAAAGGAGCTTCCTCTCTACCTCTTGGTGGTGTCCCTCACTCTCTGCCCCAATTCAAACGTTTTCACATGAGTTGTCGGAATTCTACAATATATTTCATGCCCACCTCATTTTAGAAAACTGCTTTCATTCCTCTTTTCTAAATTCAAAGAGTATTTAGTTTCTGAAGCACTCACTGGGTTCTTATCAGTTATCTTCCTGCATTTGTATTGTTTTAGCATTGCGTGGCATGACTACTCAGCTAAACAGTAAAACTCCTTGAGAGCATGAACCATCTCTTCTCACTCTGTAACCCTTCTGGAACTCTGCATAATATCTAAATACATTTTGGTTGATTCATTGATTGAAATACCAGAGCACATCCTTTATTTCTATTTGTCACTAAAGCATGGCATTGAAGTATTATTGAGAGGTATCTTACTATACCTAGTTTCCAATATTTCTTATGCCAAAAACCATACTCCTTCTCTTTAAAATAACTGTGTTTTTACATTGGAATCCCTCAAGTCTTGTTAATAAGCATGTACTCGATGCTGTATGTGATTCCAGTCTCATGGCTTCATATGGCATCCATGTGCTGATGACACCCAAACTTCTATTCCCAGCTAAAACATTGCTGAGGTCCAGGACTGACAACTCCTGCTATATTAAGAGGTATCTCAAACTCAAATGTGGCCAAAAGAAAATTTAAATTTCAGCTTTCCCACTTACTAACTGTGAGCAAGTTTCTTCATCTCCCTGTGTCTCAGTTTCATCATTTGTAAAGGGGATAATAAAAGTACCCACTTCAGAGGGCTGTTGTAAAGTGAGGGTTAAGTGAGTTAATCTGTAAAAAAGAGTGCCTGGCATATATTATGCAGTATATACAAGTAAATGTTGACTACTATTTTTATTATCATTATCACTACAACTATCATCCTAATATAAGCTCTTATCATCCTCTGCCTACAATATGGCAGGACCCACCTAACTAGTTGCATGTTTGCTTATGCTTCCACTTTGCCTACTCTCCAGAGTTTTATTTTTATTTTTTTAATTAATTTTCTATTGAAAAATAATTGACTAAACTTATTTGTGGGGTAAAGAGTTGAATATCAGTATCTCCAGAGTTTTATTAAAAAAAAAAAAAAAAAAAAAGATCAAGTCACTCTCTGGCTTTAAAACACTTTAAAGGCTCTCCACGGGGCCGGCCCGGTGGCGCACTGCTACAGTGCCCCGCTTGGGAGCGCGGTGGCGCTCCCGCCGAGGGTTCAGATGCCACATACAGACCGGCCGCTCACTGGCTGAGCAAGGTGCGGGCGCAACACCGAGGGTTGTGATCCCGTTGCCGGTCCCGGTCCGGTGCGCGCGCGACACTGAGGGTTGCGATCCGTAGCTGGTCACGAAAAAAGACAAAAAGGAAAAAAAATAAAAATAAAAAAATAAAGGCTCTCTATTACACAGAGGATGCAGACTGAAGTCACTTTCAGGCTAAAAAAATAGTCCCATCACAACCTCTCCCCCTACTCTGCAGGCAAGCAATTTAGAGACTATGGGTTAATCGGCATCTCTTCCAACACACATATACTCCAGAAAAAAATCAAATAGCATTCACACAATAGCTCAACGTATTTAATCAAGATTATACCTCATTGAGGTCAGCCTCAAGGCAAAGAAACCTGGTGAAGGGAAGGTAGCCGATGGGGGCCTTTGTAAAGGGGGTTTGTGTCAAGAGGGACAGCAAAATCAGAAAGAAGAAATGAGAGAAAGGGAGAGATGTAGGAGACCTTTGCCTGCCTTGCAATTTTACTTAGTGCCCTGGGAACAACAGATTTATTGCTATAAATCATTTAGGCTACCTGTGGTTCTTATGCTGAACAATGATGCCGACTTTCTATACTTGTTTGAAAAATATCAGATCTTAACCTACCCAGTTCAGCACAGGGTCTTCTCCACTGAGTTGCACACAATGGAGGGGGAAAACAAAGGAGAATAAGAAAGACATTCTATGTCAAACTCAAGTGACCATCCCACTCTGTAGCCTTCCTCCCATCATTACTATAAGAAGAAACAAGACAATTTACCTATATAGCTGGCTGCTATGGGTTAAATGTATATCCCAAAAGTTCATGTATTGGAAACTTGATCTCCATTCTAACAGTGTTGAGGGTGGGAAATGCAATCATGGTATATGAAAGGTGATTAGATTGTGAGGAATGTGCCCTCATGAATGGATTGATCCATTCATGGAGTAATGGGCACGGTCCTGATGACTTTTTAAGGAGGGAAAGTGAGAAGGTTAGCTCTCTTTTGCTTATTTTCTCTCGTGATGTGATACCCTCCATTGCTGTAGAAGAAGGCCCTCCTCACCAGAAGTGTTCCCTGGACCTTGGATTTCCCAGACTCCAAACTGTAAGAAATAAATTTTGTTTCTTCATAAATGAGCCAGGTTCAGGTACTGTTATAGCAACAGAAACGGACTGAAACACTGGGTATATGGAGAACTCTTAAAAGTCAATAATAAAAAATCAACCTGATAAAAAATTGGCAAAAGGCCAAACAGACACCTCACCAAAGAAGATATACAGATGGCAAGTAAGCATATGAAAAGAAGCTCCACATTATATGCCATCAGGGAAATGCTAATTAAAACAGTGAGATACCAATACACACCTATTAGAAAGGCCAAAATCTAACTCTGACAACATAAAATGCTGGTCAGAATGTGAACCAACAGGAACTCTCATTCATTGCTAATGGGAATGCAAAATGATACAGCCACTTTGGAATACTGTTTGGCAGGTTCTTAAAACATTAAACATAGTCTTACCATACAATCCAGCAGCCTAACTCCTTTGCATTTACTCAAACAAATCAAAAACTTAACATCCACACAAAAACCTACACATGGATGTTTATAGCAGCTTTGTTCATAACTGACAAAACTCGGAAACAACTAAAATGTTCTTCAGCAGGTGAATGGATAAATAAACTGTGGTACATCCAGAAAATGGAATATTACTAATCACTAGAAAGAAATGAGCTATCAAGCCATGAAAAGACATGCAGGAAACTTAAATGCATATTATTAAGTGAAAGAAGCCAATCTGAAAAGGCTGCATACTATATGACTCCAACTATCCAACATTCTACAAAAGGCAAAACTATGAAGATAGTAAAAAAGATCGGTGGTTGCCAGAGGTTAGGAGGGAATGAGGGATGAATAGGCAGAGCACAGAGGATTTTTAGGGCAGTGAAACTATCCTGTATGATACTACAATGGTGGATACATGTCATACATTTGTCAAACCCATAGAATGTGCAACACCAAGAGTGAACTCTAATGTAAACTATGGACTTTGGGAAATAATGGTGTGTCAAAATAGATTCGTTGGGCCGGCCCGGTGGCGCACTGGATAAGTGTGCCGCTTGGGAAGCGCGGCGGCGCTCCCGCCCGAGGGTTCGGATCCCACATGCAGACCGGTTCCCGCTCACTGGCTGAGCGAGGCGCGGGGGCAACGCCGAGGGTTGCAATCCCGTTGCCGGTCCTCGGTCCGGTCCGGGGACAACACTGAGGGTTGTGATCCGTTGCCAGACACGGAAAAAGACAACAACAACAACAAAAAAATAGATTCGTTGATTGTAACAGTCATACAATTCTGGTGTGAGATGTTGATAGTAGGAAAGTATGTTTGGGGGGGTAGGGGGACATTGGGTATATAGGAACTCTCTATACTTTCTGCTCAGTTTTGCTGGGAACCTAAAACTGCTCTAAAAATACAGTTTATTAATTTAAAAAATCTGGGAGGGCTGGCAGGTTAGCTCAGTTGGTTAGCGTGCAGTGTTATAACACCAAGGCCAAGGGTTTGGATCCCCTTACTGGCCAGCTGCCCCCAAATCAATCAATCAATCAATCTAGGATTTCTTTTAATTAAAAAAAAATCTACCGGGAACCAAAAAAAGTCTTTGATATAAACAAGTCAAAGATGTTGTTTGACAGGGAATTCATGGGTAATAATAAACAGGGACTTATTTGAATAAAAAATTAAATTGCCTGAGATCTTAAAAAAAATAATAGTACCTTGGAATTCTTATACATTGCTGGTGGGAATGTAAAATGGTGTGACTACTGTGGAAAACAGTTTTGCAGTTCATCAAAAAGTTAAACACAGAATTACCACAGGACCCAGCAGTTCTCTTCCTAGATATGTACCCCAAAGAACTGAATACTGATGTTCAAACAAAAACTTGTATTTGAATGTTCATAGCAGCAATATTCATAATAGCCAAAAGGTGCAAATAACCCAAATGTCCATCAGCTGATGAACAGAGAAACAAAATGTGGTATTTCCATACAATAGGATATCATTCACACATCAAAAAGAATGAAGTGTTGATACATGCTACAAGGGAGATGAATCTGAAAACTATTATTCTGACTGAAAAAAGCCAGATAGAAAAGGCCATGTAGTGTATGATTCCATTTATATGAAATATTCAAAATATGTAAATCCAAAGAGACAGAGCCTGGAAGGAAGTTGCCAGAGTCTGAAAGGAAGAAGGAATGTGGAATGACTGCTTAATGGGTATGGGGTTTCCTTTTTGGGTGATGAAAACTGTCTGGAACTAGATAGTGTTGATGGTTGCACAACAGTGTGAATGTATTAATGACACTGAATTGTACTCTTTAAAATGGTGTATTTTTACAATAAAAATAGAAGTGAACTAAAAAATAATACCTTGATTTTTTCACTTTCTTTTCTCACTCGTTTTGCATTTTCAATAATGTAAACAGTGCTCTTGTTGACTTCATTGTCAGCTCTGTGTCGCAGCCAATCTTCATATCCCTAGGATAAAAATAACTATATAATCAAGTTCAGATAATGAAGTAAAGTTGTTAATAAATTTCTATACCCCCTAAGAGTCAACAGCATATATTTATAATTGCAATATTAATGTTAACTCACAATGCTAAAGAGACAATGTTGTACATTTTAATAGCAAATCGGAAACACACTTCCAAAATACCCCTCAGGTAAATAGCTTTATTGTGTTAAAAGGTTCCTCCATCTTCAGATAAATATTAATGAAAACACAAGCATTAGAGTCTTAATATTCTTCATCTGTAAAACACTATGATTTATTCTTCTAATTCTACTTTTATTCAAGTTAATGTTCATTCTCTATACTTTTTTAATTTGAAAAAAAATTGTTCTAGGTTTTCATTTTCTTATAGACCTAACCACTTAAATATATCCTTCTGTACATATTGTAGTAGATTGTTGAAGTAATTATCTCCAAGGAAATGTAATTTCCCCTCACCAGCAGAGAACAGAAAAGTTAGAATTGTTCTTGTAGAGAATCTATAAGTTTTAAGAGATCAACAGCTAAACTTCTCTACTGACTTGGCGATAAAAAAGAATAAATATCGGTGTTCATTTTTTAGAGTTAAAAGTAATCAGGGAAAGATCTAATGGTTCATTTTTCTTTGGGCTTTTTGTCTGGAGTATATTTAAGCCAAAAGAACTAAAGAAAGAGGATGTTCATTTGAGCATGACCTCTCCTTTTTTATGCCCTCTTTTCTTTGTTGTTGTTGTAATAATGTCTGTACGTTTTCATACACAACTGTTTGAAAAATCTCTTGATCACCTTCCGCCCTTTTTCCCCCCTCGGGTGCTACACCTATTCCTCTTCTGTCCCTCTTTATGACAATGCTGTGCTATCACTTAATAGGGTACATTCTGTGATCCATGAAGAAAGAAAGGGCCCAAATGTGAACTAGTACTGGGAGTAAAATGAATCAGTAAAAGCCTTTGAAAAGCAAACATGCTATTCTGGGAACCAGCAACTTTATGATATCAAAGAAAATAATCCTAACAGCCTAAGGGAAAGAACATTCCAAAAGTCTTTATTTAGCAACCAAATACTTGATAAAATATTCTTACAGTTCCTGGTAGGCAAGATACAAGACAAGATACCCCAAGAGAAAGGAAACCTTGTTCCTAATACCGACAAGCAGACCTTCATTTTGCAAGCTTCTTTGGAATACTTTTAAAAAGCACTTCGATAAGTACTATCTAAAAGTATTCTTGTAAATAGGTCTTGTAGACTATCCCAATACATGATAAATATTGTTAAGTTAACCTACCCCTTCACATCCAGTTTCCTGTTCCCATTTTCAAATTCATCTGAAAATTTTCAAAGGTACTAATAAAAAAAAAAAAGCAAATGCCCCAAATACTTCAAAGACATCGACATCACAATCTGTGGCAATTCATCAGCTCTGATAAGAATCAGGAATAAAAGTCCCTCTACCCACCAACCCCTTCAGCAACCTCAGGAAAGACAATAAAATTAAACTATTTGTGCTCTTGAGTTCTCTGCTATAGACAGCTACAACAAAAAATCCACTAGAATGGGAATTTTCAGACAGACATACCACACTGAAACAATCAATGCACATTAGAAATGCACATCCCATTTCCTGACTGAACTGTAAATTCTACCTATTCTTTCTTTTATGTTTACAGCCCCACACTCAGATATTGAGGAGGAAAAGAGCAAATAAATAAAGAATGTGTCTTATGATCATTTTAATAGGTTTTTTGTGGAATCAAATATATACTAAATCCATCAAGGATACTGCCTGCTGCATATAAATATGAAAATGAGCCTTTGACAATGAAATACAAACCAGCCTGGACCGAAATGCAGGCATAAGTGTATATAAGAAATTTACCTGCTTGATGGCTGTAACAGTTATAACAAAGAAAAGTGGAAGTCCACTGGTAACTGGGCTAGTTGGTGTGTCTACTGTGACCTACGTAAATAAATTAAAATGAAAATTAGTCATTAACTGATATGCAGAACTTACATGATGAAACATTTCAGACAGAAATACAGACAAAACACATTCTATTTGCAGGGTGAACGTTAATTTTCGTTAAAACAAAAGCAATTCACACAGCAGTTAGTTTAAAAAATAGTCCTAAGTTCAGGCTTAGTTTTTATCCCAGCTTGGATTAACCCCTTTACTGAACTATATCCATTCATTTACCACCTATGTATTCAGCACCATTCTGTCAGCCCCTGTGCTATTATCAGCCAGTCTCTAGACATGTTGCTTCAAACAAGATGAAGACAAGTCCCTGACTTTATATAGCTGGTAGCTAATAGGGAAAACCAGACATTAAAACAAGTTTGCAGATGCTGAGATCTGAAAAATAAATAGTAGTTAACTACATGGAACAAGGCTTTCCAGGCACTCTGATAGGAGGAAGGATAGCACACAAAAGGAACTCAAGGAAGCCAGTGGCTAGAGGGAGTATGGTACAAGATGGGGCTGGCAGAGGGATGCAGGGGCCAGACTATGCAGGGCACTCCAGGCCAGAGTAAGCTGTTCATTCTTTATCCCACAGTGAGAAATCCCTGAAGGTTTTAGGCAGGGAGAATAGAACTGCATTGTGAACAGAATATTCTCACTGCTTCGAGGAAGACAGACTGGAAGGGAACAAGAGTGGAGGCAGTGATCCATTTAGGAGGCTACTGCTATAATCCAGGTGAAAGATGATAGCTTGGACTAGGATGGAAAGAAGTTCTAGAGACATAGAAAGAAGTTTTGGAGATATTTAGGAGGCAAAAATGGCAGGACTAGTAAGGAATTAGATGTAAGTGCTGATTAAAAATATCTCCCAAGTGTCTGGTTAACATGCCTGGGTGGATATTGTTGTCACTCACTGAAATAGAAAATACTGAAAGGGAACTAGATTTGAGGGAGAGAGGACCATGAGTTCACTCTGCCCACAACTCACTGACTCACATCTTCAACTCCTAGCCAGACCTGCCTTGCTATTCACCCTGTACTACAGATATAGCATACACTTCCATGTACACATGTGGCTTTTACATGGCTCTGTGCCTTTAGGCAATCTCTTCCCTACCCCTGAGATACAGGTCCCACATTCTCCACCAGGTAAACCCTTCTAGTCCTTCAAGTCTCAGTTCAGATATTACTCACTCTTTAAAAGACTTCTCAAGCTCCTCTTGGGTATAAAAGAATCATAACTTCTGCTGTATACCCATTGTATTTTGCTCACACTACTTGAATGACTTTTTATACATCAAATTAAGTGAATACATGACTGTCTTCTCAGCTATGGGTAGAAAAGCCATATCTTTATCTCCATTGTACCTGCTACCATCTTTGTTATCTGGACTACCGCATGGTACACAGCAGGTGCTTGGTATACGTTTGCTGAATTGAACTAAAATGCACCGCCTGCCAAGTAGAATGATTCTTGGTAGCAGAATCCTCTATGCAGTTTACGTCTGTTTGACATCTGACCATACACCTGGAGGAGCTCCTTTTGAAATGTTCCATCATTCAGGACTGAAATTGGCTTTTTCCCATATTACATCCCAGATTGGTTTTAAGTAGCATGGTTAAATTAAATTACAGTACCATTTACTTAAAGCTTCAAAGTGGATAAACAGAAGCACTTAACATCCACAAGACATTTGAGCAATTTCATTGGGATGTTTCTGCTTCATTTAAAAAATGAAATGAGAAAAAAAGTACCTTTAATGTAGTAAAATTTTTAGGGGGTAGTTATGACAAGGAAAAGGTTTTGATAGCTTATAGACTTAAAGATGATGATGCAATTTAAAATGTCTAAAATTTAAAACACAAAACAGTAGAAGGAACACAGAGAAGCAAATTGGTTGATCTACTAGGCTTTTGCCCTTAAAGTAAGTGAATGAGGCAGAACAAAACTGGTAATCAGGAAGATACATGATTTAAGTTTTCAATTAGGCTGAAACTGGTGTTTAACAAAGTAAAACTATTAGTTTGAACTATTTTCAATTTTGATATATACCATTTAGCTTAATGGTACATGTCTTTCTGCGATGAACAAAAATATAAAATGCATGGAAGTTTTTAAAAAAGTAACAATAAAAAAACTCATTCTAATAAAAATACTACTTCATGAAAGCTATAAAATCATATAAATCTTAAAATGTAACATTTCTACTTTAAAAAGTCATATTATAAATAAGCGCTAGAACATCTTTTTATTATCGCAGGGCATTTTAAGGTTAAAAATAAACTGAAATTTTGTTTGAAGCAATCAAGTTCCTAAAAGTTGAGTAGCTGTTTATGGAGCTCTTTACCTGTACAAGGAAAATGATGAGAAAATAAAAATTTGCGATTCTTCTAAACTGTTCAAACAGATTCTTTGGGAGGAAATTCCAAAGTGTATACTGTAAGGGAGTAAGAAAAAAAGAACATTGTTAGAAAAGAAACTTGAAAAACCCTAATAGTAATGACTGATATGTGTCCAAATTATCATACAAAGTGACATTTAATATTATCCAACCCTTTGAAACCCAAACCTCACACATACACATAAGCATATATTTACAGGTATAGTAGTATATAAAAACTTTTTTCAAGTTTTCAATCAGAGCATTACAATGACCATCTAGTCCCATACCTTTGCTTTCTCTGATTCAATCTAAATTAAGTTCCTTTTTATGAGTTTTCATATCATCTTATATAGACTTCCTTGATAATCCTCATTACAGTGAGTTATATATGTGTGTATTTTTTATTAAAGTTTTTCCCTCAATAGGTGATGAGTCCTATAGGGACAGGTTATTCACCTGTCTTGTTTACTATTTTTTTTCTAACACCTAGCACAAAGCCTGACACAAAGCAGACAAATTATTTGCAATGGATGAATGAATGAACCAAATAATTGCCGACTCAACTATCTTGATCATCAGCACAGATGTAACTGTCCCTATCTGGTACACGCCAACTCCATTTGACAGCTGAGAAGGTGTATACACAAGCCTGGTTCACTGAGGGCTTTCACTTTAATCAACAAGATACCATCCTAGACTTTGGTAATTGGTAACAGGTAAAGATTTCAATGCTACATTGCACATGGGCAGAAGGAGAAAACTCTCAAGCCAACTGTCAAACCACATGTACTTTCTCACTGACACCTTAAGCTCAAGGATGAGGTCATTTAAAAGTCACCAGAAGAAGTCAGATTTTCTAGAAGCCTTAATAAAGAAGACCAGAAACTAGAAAGAAAGAAATGTTTCTTAACCCAAAAAGCTGACTTTGCAGTTGGACAACCTCCATCCCATTTATCTGCATAATAAGAGAACATACCCATTAATAAGGTGACTGAAAAGCCACGCAAAGCATGACACAGTATATGGGAATTTATTACAAAGCCCTCTTTTTAAAAAGGCTTATGAGCTCAAAGTTCAGGGAATCCCAAAAGCATGAAGACAAAAGGGGTCAAATACATTCAATGGAGCAGCTGCATTACAACCAATAGCCAACTTAGAAAGTTCTTCCTCCGGGAGTCTAAGGAAGTTCCTTAGAGAGGATTATTCAAAAATAAGTGCAGAATTATGTATGGATGTCACCCCTTGGGAGAAGAGTACACACTTTTCATGAGATTTGTAAAGCAGCTTGTGACCAAAACTAAAAACCAGTCAAAACCACTGATCCCGTCACTTTAAAGCTGACATACACTAGTAGTGCAGACTGGCAATGAAATGTCTCAATTATGTAAGATCAATTTTGTAAAACAATAAGCTAAACTCCAACAATATGCTAACAGCTGAGCTTCTGCTGTGTTGACCTTCTATCTTCAAACTAAAGGGATTTTAATTAAACAAATAAGCATTAAGGGCAGGTAGAGTCCTCTGTGGGGAATGTTAACACATCAAAAGGGAATACTTTGTTGTTGTTTCTAAGCCCCAACTGTTAGTTTACCACTGTTTTAATAAATAAACTGCTCCCTTAAGGAATGCTGGTTATTCCCTTTATAGGAAACTATTGCTATATGCCCTTTTCTCTCCATCACATGAGCTATTAAGGGGTCAGGGACCATGTCACAAGGCCCCTTACCACTGGTTCCTACTATGATGTTTGGCACATAGAAGGCATACGTGAAATCTTGATTAAAATGTGAGCCTTGGCCATTTACTCCACTGGTTTAACTAAAAGGCAAATAAGCTTCTAGCACATCTTTTTATTATAATACAAATCTAACATGTTAATGCAGACCAAGAGAAGCTGCTATGGTTTGAATGTCCCCTCAAACTCACGTTGGTGTTTAATCACCAATATGGTATTTGAAAGGTGGGGCCTTTAAGAGGTGATTAGATCGTGAGGATGGGGCCTTTGTAAAAACATTCATAGATTAACGGGTTATTGGATTTATGAGTTTTCAGGGAGTAGACGTGTAGCTTTAGAAGGAGAGGAAGTGAGGATGCTAAAGAGCTCTTGTTCATCTCTCGCTATGTGATACACTGTGTTCCCACTAGACTCTGTACAGAGTATCCACTAAGAAGTCCCTCACCAGATGTGTCCTTCAACTTTGGACTTCCCAGCCTCCAAAACTGGAAGAAATAAATTTCATTTTCTTATAAATTACCCAGTTTCAAGTATTCCATTATAAGCAACAGAAAACGAACTAATACAGAAACCTACTGTTTAGACAGTTTTCAAATTAAAAGTGAAATTGAGTTAGAGCCATATACACAAGTTATTTAAATTAACTTGTTTATCTCAAAAATGGGCTCAGGATTGGTCAATTGCTACAAACCCAAAACAATGTTAATCACAGGAAGAAAATGTTTATAGCAGTTGTTTTAGACATGATGAGAATTGAGATTTTTTTTGTCATAAATTCTTGCTCAGAGAAGTCAGTAAATGGATTTTTTTATACTATTTTAACATGCAACTATAAACTTTAGAAGCAACTGCGACATTTAGAATCTGTTTAAAACTGTTTCTATAGAAAAATGCCAGCTTTTCAATTATATACAATGCATTTTACATCTGCTTTATAGTGAATTAAATAATTGGTACATAAGTGTGGCCTCTTAAAGATGCAGTTTTGTGAAAAAGTTATATAGGTCACTGCCTCAAACATCTACCACCTAATTTAATTTGAAATCAAAATCTGATAACAACTTTCCTAATTAAAAAGAGGGAAGATGAAGTGAATCTCCATTTTGAGTCTATTATTTCATTTAAGCAAAAGGAGGCTTTAGAACTTTACTTGTTTTTACCTGAAGTCTCCAAAATTTCCAGTTTAGCATTTAAAATTCTGATGGGGAAGCTAAAGTTCCAAATAACTTGTTTTAATGTGTCTGCACAACACAAGAGAAAGAGAAGCAGGTAAAAAATGTAGTAGTAGCTATTTAAAGTAATTAATAAAGTTAGCAGCCATTGTGAATGAACTATCAGAATGAGCCCTGACTTTTTGGATGCAATGGGACAAATAACTATACTTTGAGATCAGTAGTAAATAAACAGCTGTATCTTGAGTAACTGTTCACTTTGCTAAATTACTGTATCTATTTTTTTTTTTCCTTTTTGTCTTTTTTTGTGACTGGCAACGGATCGCAACCCTCAGTGTCGTGCCCGTACCGGACCGGGACTGGCCACAGGATCGCAACCCTCGGTGCTGCTCCCGCCCCTCGCTCAGCCAGTGAGCAGCCGGTCTGTATGTGGGATCCGAACCCTCGGCGGGAGCGCCACCGCACTTCCCAAGCGGCGCAATATAGCAGTGCGCCACCGGGCCGGCCCTACTGTATCTATTTTTACCAACTCTCCTTGATGTAGGCATTAAATCCAATTTTGAGTACCATAGCAGTCTTCTTTCATTTTCATTACTAATGTCATCTAGAACATTCTCTTTTTTAAGCATTGCTCTTTCACCATAAATTCAGATGAGACAGCAAAAGGAGTTACCAGGACATAACTAGATCAAAATTTAGCAACTTTTACAAAGGCACCTTGGGGCCAGCCAATTAACTCAGTTGGTTAGAGCGTGGTGTTATAACACCAAGATCAAGTGATCGGATTCCCATTCTGGCCAGCCTCGGAAAAATAAACAAAGAGGCAATGAAAAGGAACCTTCAGGGAGTTAGCTAAGATTGAAACAAATAGAAGTCTAATAAATTCTACTGACGATTCTGATTTTTAAAATGAGAAATGCTAGTGCAATTTTGGCCTTGAAACTAATCCAAAACGTTCTTACACACAGGAGTACTAAACTTAACCTTGGGAATACTTCAAAAAGAGTATTCTTATTGATTCTTATTCCACTAAAGAGACTCAGGATAAACATGATGGAAGCTAGAGACCCTAAAAACCTTAGCAGGGTGTGATCAATGCTCCTTTTGCTAAAGAAGAGAATTTCCAGGTTTTGTACCAGCTACAAAATTGGGGTGATTCTCAAAGGGCCCTGCAGAGTGCATTAAAGTAGTAAGGCTGCAGACAACAAATTTTTCTAAAGAAAGTATTTGTGTTGGGGGGGGGGGGGGGGAA